TACCTACTTAAAACCCAAGGTTTTTAAAAGAACACAAAGTTATAAATGCAATATTAATTGAACTGTAAAAATTTAGATTGTTAATTATAATTAGGTATCGTTTTTTCCAAAGCATTCTTCCTAAAAACGCTTTTCTTTAATTTTAAATAGCATGTAATATTTAATCATATCGTGTGATACATCGTAATCAGAAACAAAAAGATTTTTCAAAAATAGAGAATTCGAATATGGCGTCCATAAGAAAATCTAAAGTTGAGTGTTGTAACTCTGACATCAAGAGCGCCTTGGAAAATACGATGACAGATTTAAATTCCTTGTAAAAAAGTGCCTTAAGGATGTCCTAGTTAAAAACATCAAGGTCTTTTAGTTTTCGCTTGAAAAAATAAAAACGAAAATTATAAGTTTCCGTTTTTTTCCAATATTTTTTTTTCCATTAAATTTTCTTTTAGATTATTGTTCAGCATAAAAATGTGCAACTTTTCCCGAATTTAACCGACCTCGTATCTCTTATAATAACTGAGATTCAAAGCACGTACAAATCAACTATACAAAAAAAATAAAAAATTCAAAATTAAAGGTTTTCAGTAAAAGAAGTATAGAATAACTATGTATAGTCACACGGTTAAATGAATGACTCTCTTGTCTAAACTCAAACGCAACCATAAATCTCAAGTCAAAAAACTCATCACTTGGAAAAATTTATTTATGTATTTTTAAATAATTTTTAAATACCGGATATCTTATTTTAGAATTTTGATCAGGTTCCGTGTTATCCGTACATACAGGGTGAATCTAAAATATGGATCCCAGCGTTTTTTTTAACCATTTGTGTCTAGAAAATAATAATTAATATAAATTAAAATAATATAAAAAATGTGATCATATTTTGAGAACAAAATCTAGTTTTTTTATAATTATGCGAATTTTTTTGCCAAAATTGCAATTTATCGAAACTTTTTTTTAAGTAAATATAAAGTAGATAGTTGTAACTTTTAGATCATAACCTTTATGAGAAAAATAGTTTTATAGTAGATTATCATTTAAAAAAATTAAAAATTTTGTAGAACTTAAAACGAAAAAATTTCGAAAAATTTTATTGTAGGTAAAACATCACATACTTTATCATTCATCAATTTCTTTTCCAAACATAAATAGTTTAACCAAAAAACGTTTGGTTCCATACTTTTTATTCCCCTGGTAGATCAAATTAATAATAATTCAAGCTTTGGTAGCTAATACAATACAGCGTGAGATTAGTAAAAAAAATAATTGAGGAGAATATTCAACATTGAATGTGCTATAGTCTTTTCGCATATAAGATTAATTCAAATTGTCCATAAACCTGTCAAGATAGTTCTCAAAATGTATTCAAATTTATAATTTATTTATTTATTAACTCTTTCGTAACTTTCTTTGAAGTAAATTTTGTACAAATTTGTCGAGATAATCAAACCAGATTGCTCTCATTTGAATAAATAAGAAAATCTAATTTACTACAAATTGTAATAACAATTAGCAATCATGGAAATAGTTATTAGCAATGTTCGCATTCTTTCCGCAGAATAACAGCGTTTATATTTATAATAAACAGATATATGGATTAAAGTACCGACATACGTAACAACAATTACCATAGCAATTCACACAAAAACTTTATTTTCTACACCACTGATCATAAAATTATACATGACATTAACTGATAATTATCGTAATTTTATTATAACTATAATTCACTTCTTGTCTAGACTTTACGAACTATATGCAAGGTGAATTGCAAAGCAATTGCTTTGACAAGTAGCGTGTGAATGTGTCACTATTTTGATCCCTTTCAAGCAAAACATTTATAAACATCATATTTATTAATTCACTTATTAACTAATAAAATCAACCGGTTATCACTAAAAACTGTTTTCATTGTTTTGTTTTTTCTTAATTGGGACTTTAAAGCTTTAATTTTTGATAATTATAACGTGTGAAATGCGTTTGAAACGTAACTGATTTAGAACATTATTAATGTACAGTGTCGGACAAAATTAATGACGCACTGAAAACGAACAACTTCAAAACGATTTAGTTAATATCTCGCACAACACGCAATGTCACTCTTACCGTTACTCCATCTAAATCATCTAATGGAAAAATAAAATTCAAACATCTCAATAATCGGTCCCCACAAACACCATCAAAATTGTTAGTTTTGATCAAGTGTGTGCTAATAAATTACGATTCTTTCCGCATAGTCTGTGGAATTTCTTGCATTTCTCATATTATTCTACTCATCATTTGAGGAAAGCGGATATTGGGCCGATTCTCTTAATTAAAGCAGCAATCAGAATTATAATGAAATGTTTGCAAAAAATACATTAAAATATTTACTTCTGACATTTAACCTGAGTAATATTCATTAAAAATAAGCTGGTAGCCTTGTTTGAAATTCATTAAATTAGTTACATTGCCACCTATCATTCAATACGTTTTGCTTCAATCGAAAGAAAACGTCATGGTAAATTATGACTCGATGACAGCATAATTTCGTCATTCTGTATATTAAATACCTACATATAAGCTTACGTAATTATTTACTGGACTCCTTCGACACAGCTATTTGAAAATTTCGAATTTATCGCGATTATTTTAACTCGGAATTGTTTATCTATTAATTATGGGGAATTAACGATTAAACTTCCTACCTGGAAAAATTTGATCGAGCTTTGGTTATCTGAAATAAGTTAAAACTTAGTCAGGTGTTAATCATAAACATGGTGATAGTGATGGATTGGATTGTGAAAAACGTTCTTGTGGTTTATAAATAATAAATACAAAATTTGCAATACTTATAAAAATATAGTTAAAGTCTTGTAACCTTTTTAAGACGTTTAAACACACAGCAGCAGTAAAATATTAGCAACAATGTGTTGTTGAGTCTAGAAAATTATGGCAATAATGAAACGGAGGTTGTAAATTATAAATGAAATTACTAATTAGTGTACAGATTTTATTTTATCTGTTTTGAATCTTAAAATTATTTAATCTATATGTATCCCTGCTAATTATTGAAAAAAATGATGCTATAAATTCTACATAACGTTCCCATTTAAATTTTGAATAATTAAAAGTAAAATTTAAATTAGCAGGAAACTTTATGAACGTTTTATTAAAAATTAATTAATTTTTCTCAAATGCTTTGTAAAGTGAATCATATATTTCAAAAAATAATTCAAAATAATCTGTAAAGTAGAACTTTTCCGGATTCATATGTCATTAGTTAAAATTGTAAACTTTAACAAGATAGTCCGTAAATAAGTGGTGTAATGTTAGTTGCATATTCGTTTAAATTGTTACATAATAATTATGCTTAAAAAAACGCAATGTATATCTCAGCACTAAAGTTATTTCATATTTTTTATAAAAAATCTAACTTTAGTGCTTTTTGCATAAATAACCATATTAGACATAGAAAATGTCACTACACATATTATTTTTTTAAATTAAGTTTTCAACCAGTATTTCTATTTGTATACTCTTTACAGAAACACTTTTTAGGCTTAAACAAAAGTACAAATTTATATTATTTATATTATATTTAAAATGAACAAAAAAAATATAAGTAATAAAAAGTGTAAAATTTCCAATAATTTAAATAGTTTTGGGAAAATATATAGTATATACAGACTGATCAACCAAAGATGACGAATTTTTAATAATAAAACAATACATTCACGTTGATTCACGTAAGATGTCAAGTCTTACAAAAGTAAATGTACCTGTAAAAAAGATACTACATGTAGAATGTATTTTGTGTTGTCTTAGCCTTACTTTAAAACTTTGTCTTTTTACTTTCTTTAGAAATAATAACGCATAAAATTATAATACAGACTGAACCAAAAATAACGCACAAAATTCATATTTTTGTTATGATGAGTCATTTTTCAGAAAAATCTTGGAACAGGTCGATTTTATTTTTTTAAATGCTACTTTTAGACACTATAGTGACATTTATGACGTCGTTCGTTTTCGAGTAATAACGTATTTTTTTAAATGTCAATCGACATTTTTTATTACTGTTTAGATAGTACACATCCTTATCTTTGTGGTAAGCATAAAAAAATCAAAAAAATAAAGCAAAAATAAAGGAAATAAAATATAAATATAAAAAATACTTGTTCAGAGTTTTAGACAAAGAGCTTTTTGTTCTTGTTCTTGCTTTATTTTATAAGGGGTGATTGTTTTTTGTTATTAATTTTTTGTGTTTAGGGTTTATATTAACTGTTTTCATGCTAATTATCTAAAAAAATATACAAAAAACAATTGGCCCTTATAAAATAAGACAAAAATAAAAATATAAAGCCTTTTGTGTTTAATTGAAAATATTTTAAAAAAATTAAATAAATTTTTTTCAAGTTTTGATTTAATTTTTTTTTTATTTTTTTTTCTCATGACCAGAAAGGTAAAGATGTGAAGAACAAAAATGTCTGTTGTCATTTAAAAAAACCAAAAATGACGTCACAACTCAAAAACGAATGATGTCATAAATGTCACTATATTGTCAAAATCTAGCATTTAAAAAAATAAAATCGACTTGTTCGAGGATTGTTTTGAAAAATTTTGTGCGTTACTTTTGGTTGGCAATTGAAAAAAATTCAGGCTAAAAAAATGTAGGTACTATCAAATTCATAAGCTTATTACTATTATTATTTTAGGATTATATCATTATTTTTTTTTAATTTAATTAAATGTGCTCTTTTGTTTTTTTTTATATTAAAATTTAGAACCTTTTAGTAACATTAGTTATAGTAAAAATATAAACATGATGGCATGTGATTTTGAAKTTAAGTTGGCACCATTATGTAGGGACAATGTTACCAACTATAACATTATACACTATTCGGACGTTTGTGGGATGCCCTGTATTATTACTTATTATTATTATTAGTCATAAAAGTGAATAATAAGTTTGTTGTTATGGTATTTGATGATTTTTCTTTTTTGTTCCATTCCAGTTTAATGTCCAGAGACTCCAGGATGCCCACTCGCTATCCCAGCCTAGTTCCAGTGGGACAGTTAGCGCTAGTATCGGAGGGTTGGGGGAGTCACACCCGGTCGCGGGACACGGCCTCTACCTCCAGGGCTCCGCTCACAGTTCTGGGGGCTCCGTCAGTTCGACGGGTGGCGCCTCACCCACTAGCCCCCTCAGACCCGGTAAAGAAGAAGATTGCAGTTTGCACGGCAGGAGTAGCACGGAAGGTAAGTCCAAAAACCAGGAAATATTTTTCAAAGAGAAATCTTGTAGATTTCTCGAGAATCAGGGATATTTAAAGCTGGGTTGTAGATAATTTGTCATCGGCGTATTACGGTATCATATCTCAAAAAGCTAATTTACGAGTTTCTAATAGAGATAACCAGAAGAGTGTGTGTTGTGGTCACTATAAAAAAACAGTTAACGGCATCTGAATTTTACGCCTGTCAGTTTATTGTGAAATCGAAACCTTCCGACAGGGCGGTCGTAATTTAAGTTGTTTATTAGGGATTTAAAAATAAGCTTGTGACCAGTTTTAATTAATCAGAACCGTGTAAAAGTCAAGAAGCTATAAAACTGTTATTATAAAATACTAATATTTTTATTGAGCTATAAAAATTCAATTTTTTTCGGTGCGTCTCGATCGTAACTTTCAGTTTTGATGTTTATAATCTGTTTTTGGTAATTGAATTTGCTTACCAATGACGGCTCAAGCATTATATGAGACTTTTCAAAGAGGAGATGAGTGTCTTGACTGTTATTTATTTTATTTTCTTTCAGATAGTAAAAATTGGCTTCCTGGAGGGCTTTAATACCCTCATAGATTAGATCAGACACCTACTTATTAACAAATCAATTAAATTCCTACCCACATGATTTCACACCTATAGATTGGAAAAAGTTGAATTTTAATTTTTAGTTATTGCAGATTTCCACAGTCCAATTTAAAAGCAATCAAACTATAATAATCATTTTTTTTGCTTCTTCTTCTTCTGCTTTTTTATATTCTACTTCTAGAATCTCTGGTATGTAATCTTAATAGAAAAGTAAAATTTTTCTTATCGATTAAAGCTTATCTGCTTCTACCTTCCCATTTATTACTAACTTAGCGAAAAGCAAGTTTAAAATCCACGATATTTGCAGAATACTGCTTTTAACAAAATTCGACTGTGACATTTAAATAGGTAATAAAAAAAAACAAAATTCGAGTTATGGTTTGAAAGTTGTTCACAAATTGTATATTTCACACAAATTTTATATTTCGAAAACAATCATTATTAATAAGGCTCGGATTATATGCAAAATGCATATTTGTCATTAAGAGGTATATCAACAAAATTGTATGTTTTCTATGCATATCTAATGTTTTTTGATTAAAATAAGCCCATTAAAAAATGCATATTTTGGCAACTTGGTGCATATTTTTGGAAATATTTCATATTTGTGCATATTTTCTTCAAATCACTAATTTTCGATTAAAAATTTCAGTTCAAGTTAAAAATTGGACAGTTTAAGAAAAATAATCCGATTACAAAATATTTTAAGGAGAAAACAACCGGTAATTCGTAAGCCAAACTCAAAAAATTAGTACCCTGCTGAGTATTTCCTTTTTAAATTCGTTTTATACTGGGTGAATATAAAGAATTGAACCAAACGGTTTTTTTTTAATCATTTGTTTCCAAAAAATAGTATAAATTAAAGTAATAAAAAAAATGATTTTTTTAAGAACAAAATTTTGTTTTGTTTTTGAGTTATTATTATAATTGCGATATACATACTCGTATGTAAAAAATAATTTAATATAAAGTAGATAGTTGTAATCCCTTAGATCTGGACCTTCATGAGAAAAATGTTTTTTTTTGGTGGGTTGCCATTAAAAAAATATTTTTGGTAAAACATCACATTTCTATAGAACTTTATAATTCATCAATTAGTTTTTTTCAAAAGATAAATACTTAATAAATAAGCAACAAACGTGATGTGATCTGAAAAGTACAGATTTTTTAGAAAGGGTTAATTAGGTTATTAAAATGACTTGTCTCACACCAAACCAATTTATTTATTCTTTCATTTATCGTGTGCAGTTCAAGATGAAGAAAATACAAAGTATAGTGTATTCGAGGATAAAAAATTATCCCTTAATTATTAATGTAATTATTAATGAGCCTTAATTGTTAATGTGCAAAATTCTAATTGATTTTCAATAGAAAACTTTTACAGAAATTCACAACTAAAGCTGAAAATAAGTCAATATAAAATTCAATCACAACTGATGATTCCAAATTGTAAAATATTCTTAAAACTACACCAAACTCGTCTGCTTGAAAAAACTGCAATTTATTATTTTAAGTTTTTGATTAATTTATTTATTTTTTTAATTTTAATTGGATTTAATAGATTTTTATATAATTCTGTGAACTTTTCTCAGTGTAGGAACAGCGTAAGTCATTAGTAAATTACATAATTAAATAAAATAAGTTGAAACTTGAAACTGATGTATTTTGACAGTTACTGACAAAATATTTTTAACGCTGTGTTGAAACACTTATTTATGAGGAATTAAAAAAAAATTAATCATTGGTTACTTAAGAGAAGAATCAAATTACAAACCAGATTGTTCTACCAATAAGCTAAATATTTAAAAACTTTTCAAATTTGGTATCTCGAGAACGATAAGAGCTAGAAACTTGAAATTTGGTATATAAGTTACTTGTAGCAAGGGGACGTAGCACGAAACATTTGGTAAAAATCGGTCGCACCGTTCGGGCCCAAAGACCAACAATCAAAATGATACACTTGAAGATACTTTAAATAAATTCATGGGGATAAAAAATTTAATCATGAAATATACCTTATTAAACAGTAAAATGTGATAAAATAATGAATACCGAACTAAAAAAAATTGGACCCCAGACTCGAACCCGAATTTAAAAAAGCATCATTTTTTTATTTCGGTGATGTAACACAAGACTTGAATTAAAGAATAATACGGTTTGGAAAATATAATTAAGCAATCAAAATTTTATTTGTAAGACCTTTTTTTGAATAAATGTCCTTCTGTAATCGATTTTGTTGAAATCCTTCCATGATCTTTAGATAAAAATGGGCCAAAACACTGCTATTAGAAATCTCTTATCTCGAACATTTAATCAAATAAAATTTCACCGCGGCAATATTTCGGTTTCATCTTCGGACGCCTCATTTGAATAATGGCATTTTAAAGTCGTGTTATGAAAATATAATGGTCATAATTTGTTGATATATGCTGGAGGAACTTTATCGAATTTGGAGCAATTTCGTGGAGATTATACTCGGCGCGCATTCTTGAACATTAATTAGTTAAGAAGAAAATGTCGAATAAAAACAGCAGCCAACCTTGAACATATAACCAGAACAATGGCGGTAAAGTTTTTACCTCGGCGACTTACTCGAAACTACCACTGGTCGCGATTCCAGGTACAATATTAAAGAACCATCGCGGTCGGCGCAAATTATTGCATTATTGATAAGAAATTTTCGGACACCGATCTAATTTAAATCATTAACGGGGACGAAAAAATTGTGTTGACTTGTTTTTGTCGTGGTGGTAAAAAGGTTCTTGGCGCGGATGCCAACACAAGGACATTGCAAGATCGCTACCTTTCTCAGTATTTTATTAAAATGTAAGTGACAAGTTTGGTCAATTACAATTTACAATTCTAAAATAGTTGCATCATTTATTGGAAAAAATGTTTTAAAAAATCGAGAGCCATAAGGCAGTTTTCTCGATAACTAAATATCTGGTTAATCCTGTGTAACAGCCTCATAAAATTTTAATGCAATATTGAAATAAAATAGCTGTAATGAGCTTAGAGTAATGAGAGATTAGACTGCTAACCATAAGCTGTGACACTAACTTTCATGATTACTAAGAATTACAGGCTAACAACATTAAAGAGGATCAAAGTTCAAACAAGTTGTATAAATAACGGCTACTTTAATGTTTATATTGTATGCAAATTTAAAATGAAAGAGGACATTTTTCGTTATTTTATTTAAAACTTATTGCGATTGAAAATATCTGTATCTTGGTGGGTGAGCCGTTGAATTACTCTCTGCTCCACCTAGCACAACAATTATGCAGGTTAATTAAAATTCTATTCGCTGCCACATAAAAATCCCCAGACCACAAAATGTTTCAACTAATAATAACATTTTTTTTATGTCAAGGAGTTTTTTCTTTTGCTTGCAGATCCTCAACACGGGATCGACGATGATGACTCCCAAGAAGCCGGAAGTTCACGTGCTCAATACGTTTCGGCAAACTGTGTTGTCTTCACCCATTACCAAGGCGATGCTGCGTCTGTAGTCGATGAACATTTTTCCAGAGCTTTAGATAAAACGTCAACGCACACGAAAGGTTAGTTAGTTTTTACTGCTGAAAGAAAATTATTACAGGTTTTTCAACTTATGAAACTGAAAATTGTAAAATATGGATTGAAGAGGTATTAAATCTTATTAGACTTGAATCTTTAATGAAATTGTTCGCAACCAAAAAGTCAGTAAAGTAGTACTTTTCGGGATTCATATGTCATTAATTGAAATCGTTTGTAAAGTAAATTACAGTTTCAAAAAAAATAAATTTCTGAAAAATTTGAAGAAATTTTTACTGTTTCTACCTTAATGTAGAAAATTTTTTTTAACACGATATAGAGATACCAAAAATTGTGGATCACCTTAAGAAATAAATACTCGTATGTACAGGGTGTTTTAAGTTTTAGGGCCGGAGGAAAAATAAATGTTTCTAATTCATTAAAAAAGAATTTTTATAGTGTAAACGTTAGAGGATTAAATACACTTTAATTTGATGTTTTAATATTGTATTTTTTAAGCGTATAGCAGTGAGACCTTAAAAATTAAATTTGGAGAAAAAAAATCAATTAACTGGAATATTTTCTACATGATAAATTTCTTTGATTTTTATTGTGGTATTTGTGAAAATAGAATAATGGTCAAGTTGATAGGTTTTAAATAATTAACATTTTAATATTGAAAATCTAAAATTTGGAATTATTTATGTGGGGGTTTGCGGTAATTAGTGATCAAGCCAGAATTTCTTGACAAAAGAAAAAGGTCCGCAATGACATTTATTACTCAAAATTTATCATTATTCAATTTTTACAGTTACCATTACAAAAAATCACATAGAAAAGATTCCAATTAATAATTTTTTTTTCAAATTAGGTTTTTAGGGTTTCACTGAAAAATTTTGAATAACATTAAAGCATTAAATTGAAGCTTATATAATCCTCTATCGTATGCACTAGAAAATATTTTTTTAATCAATTAGAAACATTTATTTTTGCACTGGCTTTAAAATTTGGGACTGTGTACAACACATACACTACTCCAAAAAATTATAAAGGAACAAAAAATTTTCCAAAATTTTTTGGTGTCTGTAATTCATCGAAAAATAATCGTATCTAGACTAGAAAAAAACCATTTTGAAGCTTTAAGTCTGTAGTTTTGAGATCTTTTGCCAAATATTTTTTTCTGTGCTACGGTTTTCACGCAATCTTAAGTAATATAGTGCGAGAAAAAAAAAGGATTTTTATTTAAAGTCAGAAATCTCAGCGACCAATTCACGTGACAAAAGCGTATCAAAGGTAAACGAACATACTATCCGGCTTTTGCATTGACTTAACTAAAAAAAATCTCCACGTTTGTGGACCAAAAACAAGAACATAAAAATTTAGATTTTTTTCACGCGCTATTTCTTCGAATTGCGCGAGAAAAAAAATTTGCCAAAAGATCTTAAAACTTGAAACGTAGCTTCAAAATGGTTTTTTTGAAATCTAGATACGATTATTTTTCGAGGAATTACAGGCACCAAAAAATTTATTAAAATTTTTTGTTTGTTTGAAGAAACAAAACTTTTTTACTTTTACTTTATTTTCATTTTTGTACCAAAAAAAATATTGAGACGCAACAAACTCGGACAAAAATTGTCATTTATGTATTAGTTTTAAAAATTTTCCAAAATATGAAGGTGTTAAACCAATTAAAAAATGTCACCTTCCTTCCCAAATGTGTGTAATCCGACATTTATGAAAACTTATTCCTTTATTATTTTTTTAATTACAAACAATTTGTGTGTAAATCGAGCCCCATAACTAAGCATCAAAGTGACATCCATAACTAACAACAGTCCATAATTACCCCACTTATCGTGAAAATGATTTAAGTCTTGTGCACAGCTGCTTTTAAATCCTGTAAGATACACCACCCATCACCTGTTCTTCAGAAAATTGCGCGAAAAAGAAGCGACCTCGCCGACACAACAATTAATGATTTTAGCGTTTAATCGCAAGCTGAGACAAAATCTGAGACATTTTAAGAGAGCCATTAATAACGAGGGGCAAGCACGGATGTCTAAACAAGAAAAAGAGGCCTTCGATAAATCATCCGTAATTTATGTCATTTCACTACCGTAATTACTTTCATAAATCCATCCGAATTAAAAAATATTCGGTCGTAGCACAGGAGATGGCTATCAAGGGTCCCAATGCGGGGTGTTTGGCTTAGATGGACAACACCATCGCCGGCAAGTCTCTTCTTCTTGTCCCGACCACATTTCTCAATAATAAATTAAGAGTTCTAAGAATTTTAACTAGCCACAAAATTGTTATGTCATTCGGATGCTTCAAAACGTACCGCATCGTTCGCCTTTTAATGTGATCACTAATTGAATACAAATGTATATGGATTTTCACATTTTTGACTATTTTTGACTCTGACTCAACAAAGGATTTCCTAGGTGTTTACAAGACATCTCACACTTCTTACTTTTGCATTCCTGATTAGAATTTCAAATCGCCACTTATTAATAAAGAAATTTCGTATTTTGGTGGGACCACCCGCAGATTTCATCTGTGTTGACTCGGACATAATTGCATGTAATTGTTCACATTCTTCCTAAATTACAATCTTATCCATCATCTTTATCCATTTCGGCTACAACACAAAACTTGTAAGTTTGTTTACAAGGCCGATGTTGTCGTTTTTTCAACTTCTGGTTATGAGAGGACCCAAACATTCGTGCGACGTAATCTCTAAATCAAGTCCATATTTAAAAATACAGGGTGGATAAAAATAATATTTGGATTTATGACAGCTATAAAAGTCGCTGGATATAATTAATAGGATTAGCGGTTTAAACACAAAATTTTTTTACTTGTATTTTATAGAGTAGGTACCTATCTATTTTTTTAATTTACTAAATTCCTAATTTTATCACATTAGGTATTTATTACGACTAGTTTTAGTAATCAAGTAAGTATGTTTTTTATCAAAGAAAAAAATATCAAATTAATGAAAAAATAATAATCATTGGGTTTAGAAAAAACCGTATAGATGCTTATTTTATTATTTTAATCTAGTTTAAATAAATTAACATCAAAGCAATTTATTTTCAGAAACACTTCAACTTAATTATTTCTTGTTTCTACAACGTTTTTACTTTTTTACACGTTACCGCATTATTTTTTTAATCCTTAGAAAAAAATATTTCTAATGTCAGAGAAGAAAACAAAAAAAAAAATATTATATTTATTTTTTTATTTATTTTGGTAATGATTTTTTATCGTGACTATACAAATAGTAATAATTTATTAATTATTATAATCAGAAACAAAATACTAAAATAGTACCGAATAATGTTTATTTGGTATTCCATTTATTAAAATCATATAAAAGTTAACAAGATGCAGTGTCATTCGTCAATTTTTTGGTGTCACGTAAACGTTTTACAGAAAAAAAAAACTGTTTTTATGCAAAAGTGATTTTCTATCTATTTTTGTTCTCCTTTTTTCAAAAATTAAATTTGCGTATTTTTGATGCAAGGACTAGACACCTCGACAGTCGTTAAGGCTGTTATTTCGACAATTAAAAGATCTATTGAATTTTAAATCAAGTTGAAAATTGTGTCTTTTTTAAAAAGAAAATTGATCTGTTCAAGCATTGTCAAAACAAAATATTTTTAGTTTTAATAGGACTGTATACCATAATTTTGCCGCTCATCTAAGGATTACAATTTTATATGTTTTATTCACATTTTATCGATAAAAAATTTCATATAGGTAAGTTACCCTTTAAAAATAATTGCAAAACATAAAAAAAAGCACTTTAATTTTTATTATCATTTTCTAAAGGCAAATATTAAAAAAAAGCTTGGTTCCATAAGTACTTTTTGGTCACGTTGTACATAATAAACAAAAAAATTTTTTGAAATAGAGGAAATTTTTTTTTTACTTTTTTTTTGGCAATTTATGCCAAAACTGCAAAGGAGAAACATTTTTCGCTTCGCTTGAAACGAGCAAATCTGTAATTCAAACTTCATTATTTTGATTCAGTGAAAAAAAAAGTTAATTTTTCTTTTGATTTTGGACTTTATCTCTGCTATCACATTGTCGGTTTTATTTATTCGACAACTAAATGTCACTTTGACAATTAATTTATTAATTAAATAATGATAGTTTTTGTTAAAAATAACTTTGTTTTTTATTTTAAAGCTAAAGTTTTTTTTGAGTTGATATTTATCAAAATTATGTTTTTCTCACACATTTTTTTTCTTTAACTTATTTGTCGAAGTGACATATAGTTGTCAAATAAATAAAACCGCCAATGTGATGGTACTTAAAATGCAGAGATAAAGTCCAAAATCAAAGGAGAAATGAACTTCTTTCTACTGAGTTAGAATCTGAATCTCTGAAATAAGAGAAATTCGTCGATGGTGAAATTCTACTACTTAAAAAAATAGTGCTATTGCTTTAATTTTGCAATTAAGATAGAATTTAGGTGTATATTGTCTAGCGACGACATTATATATTTTGCCCATTACTATTACACTTGTAATCACGGTATTAAATCTGTTTCTCCATGGCTAACAGACATGCATTCTAGTTTAGCTTAATTGAGGAAATTGCTAACAGGAACAAAGCTTTCCTTGGAAAGGTTGAGTGAATAAAACGGATCATCATCAATCACTTTATTTGAGGAAAACTGAAGTGGAGAGAACGATGAAGATATGTTGGGAGGGGTGCTACTCGTTGACGTTAATTAATTCGGAAACTATTCGAGAATTTTTGCTAAAATTAATGTTACTATTGTTTATTTCGATATCGCTAGTAAATTGCATCAAAACAAATATTTTGAATATGAAATTTTGCAACTACTTTGAATTCCTTGTGGCACAAAAGCATTAAATCAATGCAAAGTATCTAAAATATTCTTATCGCACTCTATTTCCATTCCAATAGATAAAATATTTGAACAAACTGTTTTATTTTTGAAACACAACACTAATGATATGCAAGGAAAGTCGTTTTTTCAACGGAAATCATCGTAATTTCTACCAACGTTTTTCATCAAAAATTAGCTTGTGGTGAAGACTGATGTTATACATTTTTAAAAAAATATAGACTTTAGTCGTGGGGAAAGTATTCCTAAAGGTGGTAGAACTGGCTGCCATATTGGAGTTTCGGAATTCAGAAAATGCGCAAACATTTTATGACATTATTGATACGCAAGTCTCCGTTCTCGAAGAGCGGTTAGTCTTCGGCCGGTGTCTCAAAACGCAACAAATTTGGCCCAATTAAGGCCACTGTCACCGAATTCCTCCGGAGCGGTAAAGTTAGCCATCGATAAAGATCCTTTTATCGGCAACACATTCGATCAGAGCCTTTGGTGAGACAAACCTGTCTCTGTGGTAGAAGAAAGATAGAAAAAGCAAAAAGAACCCAGCCAGAATGTTGACTCTCTTCGCCGCGCCGTGATTTATATAAAATGGTATCTGATTATTTTTTATTTCTGAATGTTAACTTTAGTTTTATATTGTCGATTATCCTTTGAATTCGCCGGCTGGACTCCCGATTCCCACACTCGGACAAGTTCTGGTGATAAATGTCGCCGCCGTTCGGTCTCTCGCTGACGAAATAGCTCAACTCTTCTCCACCTATTAATTACAAGCCCCGAGAGCCCCCCGGCCGTCCCAACGACGCTCGTGACGCTGTCACAACACTTACAAATTCTACATTTTATGTGATGCTTCTGATCGAACATAAATTTTTATTCCTTCACATTAGACTTGATTGAAAATCTTGGTTTTATTAGAGAAATGCAACAACATAATATTTAGATAAATGTTAAAAGGATATGGAGTTTATTACCAACTATTATAAAATACAGGGTGTCCCAGCGAGTTGAAAAAATCCATTAACGTTGCCACATCCATTTTTTTTGAATACGTACATAAAAAAATTCTGTCTAAAAAAATTTCGATGTTATGAAAGTACACTTTGACTCGTATTTATTTCTGTTGAAAAAATAATTTTCCAAGCTAAATTGTAACTTGTTGAATATTTTTTCCATGTTGCTGGTATCTTATCTTACTTAAAATTTTTCTCTGGGACGTGAGTTCTGACACACTGTGTATGTAAGCATGTCTCTATCACCTTTTATTGAGTTGGTGTGCCACTTTTTGAGCGCCCTGTATTTTTTTAAATTTAAACAAAAGTTTGTGCTAAATACTTTAAAATTAAAGTGCAGGATTTTTTTATGAGAATCACTAATACCTAATAATTTCTTCTAAAATACGTTTTCTATTTTGGCATCGTTTTATATTTTCTTGAAAACTATATTTGTTTTATAAGAAATCTGTTTAAACAGTAGTAATTGTTATAAATTTTTTTGACATAAATTGCCATTGAAACATCAAAAAAATTACAAAATGCAAAAAAACAAAAAAGTTGTTCTGAACATTGATCATATTTTTAGGTAGTTTGCTAAGAAATTGCTTCTACTTTTTTTTGAAAGTTTTTACGGAAAACTCTTTGTTTCAATACAGGGTGATTCAGCTTAAATGACCCATTAGACCCCTCTTGGCAGACAACCTATAATACACAAAACAATTATTCCATGATTCATATTCGAATTTTGAAAGTTTCATGAATCGAAAAATATCGTTCTTTGATTCTCGATATTTTGAAAATTTAATTTTGAATCAAGGAATAAGTGAATAATGTCTTATGTGTTGTCTGCCAAGAGGGGTCAGGTGGGTCATTTAACTGAATTTAAGCTGAATCACCCTGTATACGTATACCTTGATTAGTTTTGAAACATTCATTAATTGTTTTCTACCAATAATTTACTTAGTAAATACAAGGTGCCCATTTTATTTGTTTCCGCCTGAAGGAGCAAAAGAAATAGACAACATATTATACAGGGTGCGCCCCAGATAAAACTGCGATGGAAGATAAGATACCACAAACATGGAAATAATGTTTAAAAAATTCTACCAATAAAAATTTCGAAGTTATGAGAGTTTAAATTTTGTATTTTGACTCTAATTATTTCTGTTGGAAAAATAATTTTCCAACAGAAAACAAAGAAGCTGTATCCTAAATTGTAACTCTGTTCAATGTAATTTGTGGCTTTTATTGGGAAAATTGTCTTACTAAAATTATTTACTTTTAAGTGTTTATAATCAATAACTAAAAAGGTATTTAATTTTAAACATAAAAAAAAATAATTACTATTGTTTCAGTAGCCAAAAAGTGCACAGTTGCTCAAGAAATGGAAGAAATATCACTTAATAATCACATTTGTGTTAAACTGAATCCATTGTTCTTTATTTTTACAATAAAATAATTCGAATTTCAGTACTTATAACCACTTTTACAATCTCTGGATAAATCAAGTGATCCGTGGTGGAATTACTATGGTTGCTACAATTAATATTAAATGTTATATATCTTTTCATTTATTAATTCTAGACATTAAAAGTTTATTTTTTTTAGATAGACAATTTATCAATTTATTAGATGAAAAATTAAAAAAATAGGGTGTTTCATTTCAATTTTGTAAGTTATTTAACTTTTAAGAAACTTCTTAATTTATTAATCTTTACAAATGCAAAACACTAAAAAATTGCTACAGCTTTAAATTCTGTACTTCTTATTTGCAGAAGTAAGAAAAAAATTGTTATAGCTGTCGTAGTTTTTGTGTAATAAATTTTTAAAACGTGCAAAAAAAAACTTCTTATTTTTAAAATTAAGCTAAATAGACTAATAAAAGTTTAGCGTAAAAACATTGTTTTCAAAGGCTACTTCCAAACATGCCAAGAAACATACGGTGTTTCATTTAAAAAACACAAATTTGTATCGTAACTTATTTTTGGGACATGCTGTATGGTTACAAATAATTTTAGGTGATGCACTAGATTAGTATCTATCAATGTCCTATACAATTTTTTTTTAATTTTACCATTTAAAGGTCACTAATGGATTTTTTCAACTCGCTGGGACACTGTATAAGCTCAATTCTGGACAGTAATGCAAATTTTTTTTTTTTTGTAACATCATTTATTTCTTTAATAGAGTCTTTTTCCTTAATTAGGCGAGTAGGTAGGTATAGTATATGAGAGACGTGTTGAGGAAAATGTTAATTATTCTTTTATTATTATAATTTAGAGCACTTTGAGTTAATTGGTAGAGGTGTGGATTTGTTTTTTGGCTACTAATTAAAGCAAATAGCATGAAAAAGAACAATGAAGATAAAATATTTCACAGGAAGAGTGAAGTTATCTAAATAGAGCGATTATATTTAAACACATTTTTTTAAATAATCTTTTGTCGTTCTATTGTATTCTTGAACAATTTTACAGAATTGTTTTTGTATTTTTCAAATAAAAGTAGCTGTGTGTTTTTTTAGAATCTATAGAACTATAAAGTATAGAGTTCAAAGTTAAAGAAGTTTAGGTGTAAAGTGTTTAAATTTTTTTTCTTTGAGTTTGGTTAATAAACTTTTGATCAAAACTGTGATACCGCGCTACATTTTTACAGTCTAATGAATTAAATAGTTTATGCAGTCGTTTAAGAATTCCACCTCTTGACCACAAAATCCTTGCATTAAGATATAAACATCAATTATAAAAATTGGTCGACTAGCAACTAAAATTTAGGGAATCCTGTTAAAAATTCAAATCTACATATCGCTTTCGTCACGATAGTTTGAAATTCGCGTGACCAGTCATATATTACGACCCCCGTATCAGTAGTGACATAATATGGTCGTAAATCACCCACATAGGAACAACGAATTTTATTAATAATTTCGTTGATTGTGTTAGTCTACCGTTTTAATGGCAGAATTGTGTAAGTGAAGAATACGATTCGCAATTAACTCCTTGAGTGATTTATTGCGATTTTAAAAGCTTTTTATTTATTGGATAATGTGTTTATTTTGCAGAAAGTTCGCCGATGTCTGCTCGAAATTTCCCGCCTTCTTTTTGGGATAGTCAACATTACAGTGGGGTCAGTGGCGGCGGGCCGGGGCATCATGGGGCTTCAGCGGCCGATCTTTATTCGGAACATTACCATCCGGGCGATGCTTGGTACCAATACAGTCAACATCACAGAGCTGTGCACGATTATCATCATCACAATATGGCCGCTCAATATGGCGGTCTTTTGCTTCCGGGATCCAGGCTGCATATGGGGTCGCATGCACCTTGTAAAGCAATGGATTGGCAACATCCGTCTATAGATTCGCCCTACTCTTCTTATCCTACTATGTCAGGTGTGCATTAATCATATTGTCGTATCAACAATCCCTAGGATTTAGGGATATTTGTGAATAGGTTGCCATAAATTTAGTTAGGTTGGTTTCTGGTGACAAACAAAGGATATCGTAACTAGTGTCAAAATTTAGGTTAAGTCACCTGTCAGCTTGTATGTATAATTTAATTAGCAGGCTGACAGAAAACGTCAACCGTCAACTACAAGGGGTAACCAACCTTAGGCATACAAAACTACTTCTGAAAATTCTAGTTACAAACAACATGAAAAACATAATTTTCCTAAAAGTTCAAATTCTGGGTGGTAATTTCTTGTTGACAAATCTGTATTTCATTTTTATTAAGGAGCTCATCTGGATAATAAGCAAAATAAGTATAAACTATGGTACTCGTATTATTATATTTAGGTATGCTATATTTTGAAGTTCAAAGATATACTGAATTTTTACAGGCACATTTAGTCCCTATTTTTACAATACATTATAAGTGCGGTAGATATGTAGCTAAGTCCTTTAATAAAACTACCTATATCTACTAGGTACAGTAATTAAAAAAATTCTAAATTTTTATTTGAAAAAAATGAACAATACCTACCTTATTTGTATAAACCAAAAACGAAAGAATCAAATATTCTTTTAGTTTTGTTTATTGTAATCGAACTAAGTATTATAATTAATAGTTGGTTTGCGTTTATGGAACATCTTGTATTTAGAGAAGATGAAAAACACCGATGGAGTTTTTTAAATTTATAAAAAAATATCCTGTCACTATTTTTCAAACTTCAAATATCTAATATTTTGACATATGGATAAAAGCAACTTTTTAAAATCTAAGCTGTTCTAACTCCCAAATTTCTTAAAACAAATTAACAACTTTTTGTCTGCGATTTAATATTGATTATAGGAAAAAGGAGTAGAGTTTGAAATTTAATGTATGATTGAGAAGGAATTATTTTTTTTTAATTTTATCAAAAAATTATGTTTTATTTTTATTGCTCTCCACTCAGCTACCTACATTCACAAGTTCTAAAGTTTTAGAAAATAATAAAAGGCTTCAATAAACTTTTGTCCAGAAAAAAGTCAAAAATCAAGTTTTGAAGGCATTTTTCTTGAAAATTATAATTCTCACAGTAAAATAAAACTTTCCCAATCAATTTTTAATTATGTATCGAATAGCAAAAAATTGGAATCAATCGGAGTTGTAGTTTTGGATACAGAAGCGATTATTTTTTTTACTCTTAAATGAAATTGTAAAAAAATTAAGTTTAAGAACAACTCTTTCTGTGTGAAAACGGTTTGCACGAAAGAATTTCTCGAGCATTTTTACATAAAATGTGCACATTGAGAAACGCTAAAATTTAGCTTGATATCTCGAGAACTACTCGCCGTAGAGCATTTTAACAGATAGTACAAACGTCTACAAACTTATTTCAAAAGTTAATCTGTACTTTTTAGAATTTTTCAAAAATAAAGAAAATTCAAAAGATTAAATTCATTTTTTTAACATTTTTATTTTGCTGGGCGTTTTAAAAATAAAATTCCACTAACATAGAAACAAAAATTTATTTAAAGCACGCAATTTTTTTATATCAATTTTTATATTTTAATTAATTATTTTTATATAAACCTAACATTTAAAATGAAAAAATCCTGAGTACCTGTAGAAAATATTCTATGGGTTTATAGAGGGACAAATTAAATAAGTTATGGATCTGTTTGGTTCATTATAAAGTAAATCATAAACTTACAGTAGGTAAAAGCAATTTGCAAAATAAGGCAACATTTTTAATTTTTTTTTTAGTTTTTCCACATGCAAGACATATTTGTCATGCTTATGCTTACAGATCAGTGACACTGTTTTTTGACTTAACTTTACTGAAAAAAAGTGTAACGCATTTGTTTCTTCTAAAACATTATTTGAATTCGACCCATCGAAAAATTTCTGGACATGAGATTTTTTGCCTAAAATCCAGATTTGATATTACAAAATATATTTTAAATGACAAGGAACTTTTTAATAATAAATAATAATAGTATATTATAACACAAAGTAGAGAAGAGACTTTTTATAGCCGAGCTGTTTATAAATAATACTCGTATAAATGCGAGGCTATAAAAATCTTATCTACTGTGTGTTATATAACATTTTTTTTCACTACTAGCACATTTATTACTCAGAAATACAACCGTGAAAATATAACCCTACTTAATGTTCATGTTGCCTCAGACGTAACATGTCGTAATTTAAAACTACTATTTTTGTTATTTCACTATGTATATTACCTACAGTAATTTATTCCTTACCTGAGTTATTAACTTAGGTTGAAAGTAGGTAGGTATTATTTTCTTATCATAAATGAGGTTATGTCACTTTTATACTTCTGCAACTATTAAAGAAATTTTCTAACTTTATAATATAAATATTTGTTAAAATAACAAAGAAACTGCAAAGAAAAGGGAAAAACTGTTAAAATTTGCTTCACTATTGATACTCGTAGTATTTTAACAAGAAATATGTAAACCCATTTGTTGCTGGACAATCTCAAAATTAGAGTTGGGGTTATCCTGTTTTAATGACGAAATTTAAGTCTTTTTTATTTGATTTTGCACTAATTTCATCTAGAAATACTTCCGTTAGTAGTTGTGATGATAATAGTTTTTAATAATAATAATAATATTCTAGAAATAATTGTATCAATGTAATAAACTCCAACATCGGCATTTACCCACCTCTAATACATTAGAGCCCTTGGTCTATAATGAAAATGATTATTGACTACTAGGAGAGAAAAACAACTTGACAACCTCTCGACAAACTAAATAATGGTATCTTTTACAGCTAGTAGTGAAAAAAGTAATTTACAATCACTGCAAAAATAAAAGCTTTTACTTTATTTTGATATACAGTAGAAGTAGTAGAGAAGTATAGTCTGGGGAGTTTCAGGTGAGACAACCTGTATTCTGTATATTGCAAGCAAAGCAAAAAACTGTGAATTTCTGTCAAAATATTGTGATTTTAGTATTTTCAATTTGCATAAATATGTGTTTTGTTAAATTATAATGAAAATGATCCAGAATTGGAAAAGTAGCAAAACTATGTTTGCTTCAAATGATCTACTCTAAAGTGCCTACTCCAACTAAATTAAACGCAAACTCCAACACCCACATATCGAGTTTCCTGCTTTCGACCAAACTTCAATTCCTGCAAAATATCTCCTAAATCCTGCTGGCATCAGTCCAACAAAACGACGTGCAGTGCAGGCAGCAGGAGCAGCACAGCACGTATCTGAGGAGAAGAGCCGTCGGTTTGTCGGGCAGAAGAGATCAATAACTCGTTTGACCAACGGTGGCCAATCCAGAGCAGCCACTGACCAACCCATCGTCCTTCCCCTCACCCCTCTTGGGTGGATTCCGCCGACGCCTCTAATTGCCATTCTCCGCATCGCCGCTTCAATATGGCAGCACAACGATTACACATAGCAGACATCGAGATAGAGTACGAGATATAACCGCCGTCGGATTCGAGGAAATCGCAATGGGGTGTTATTGGGGTCGCGTGATCGACGAACGTCACGTGTTATAGGGGAAACAAACGCTTTTTGTGGTCTGTCTAATGGTTGCTAATTATGGAGGGGTTTCAATGGCTAGGATGGCTTTTTAAAGATTGTGTTTATTTTCAAACAAATACTTGTAGGCAGAAGGGTGTTTTTTGTATGTTTAGAGTTTTTGGCTAGTTGACATGGCAAGGGTGTCATTAATTATTACATAACGAAACGTTTCAGTTTTTTTTTTTAAATACTGAAATAATGTGAACTCAAGTAAGGTCAGGTCAGTTCATAACCGAAAATTCATATTAAGCAAAAAAAAGGAGGTTCACAATGTAGTAGATCTTTCAAAAAGTTAAATTAAAAACAATCTTACCAAGATAAAAAAACTAGCAAAAACTGAAAGAATAAGTTTTGCAACAAATAATATGCCTGTAAAGAAACTGTTCATGTTGGACAAAAAACATTTGAATAAAAGTAAAAAGTGTAATCTCAAACAACTCTTGAAGAAAAAACCTTTTAAATATTTTTTTGTGATGACAAACGATTTCAAAAGTTTACAAGTATAGTCGTAGGACCATATCAAAACCGTCAAAACTCAAATTTTCAGTACAGAGAGAATGATTTATATTCCGAAGCAAAGCATTGGGTTTTAGAATATGCAGACGTTGTTTTTATACAAGTTAAAATTTTAGAAAGAAACTCTGAACAAAAATTAGTTGCTCTCTTTTTTGCAATTTGAATTACGTTCCTAATTTTAAAATTAATAGTGGAAAAGTCGATTTTTGTCCCTTTGTAAACAAGGTTTTGTTTTATTGTGGTCTACAGAGTGCGCCAGAACTCGCTCCCCAGAGAAAAATAAGGTACGATACCAGGAACATGGAAAAAAATTTTATCTATAAAATTTCAATGTTATGAGAGTTTAAATTTTGCACTTTGACTCTATTTATTTCTGTTGGAAAAATAATTTTCCAAGTTTTTTTGCTGCAGCCTATTATAAGAGAAAACAAGGAAGCTATATCCTAAATTGTAACACTGTTCAATGTTATTTGTGGCTTTTATTGGCAAAATTTTTGTACCTTTACTAAATAATTGTAAAAAAAACATATACAAGAATAACAGTATCATTAAATAGTCATAAAAAAATGTCAAATGTCAAAATGTTTTGACAGAAAGGATTTTTTAAACATTTTTTCCATGTTCCTGGTATCTTATCTTACCTGAAATTTTTCTCTGGGGCGCAAGTTCTGGCGCACCCTGTATACAATTTTAATATTTTTCATACAGGGTTTTAATTATTAGAAGTGATCAAACTGTGCAACATTTATTATTATTCCTAAACATTTTTTTTAGATAGGTATGTTTTTTTATATTCTATTTTAAGTATCAGATTGATACTTAAATCTTTCAGTTTTTTACTACTTTGAATTTCACATTAATAAATTAATGACATAGTAGAATAAAACTTCTAGTTTAAAGAGACTCTCTAGCAGTTCTTACTAAAAAAATAAACGCACTTAATATTCTCAATCTTAATTATTATTCACACATTACACGTGTGAAGTAAAAACCTCAAGTTGTATGTAGTTCTTAGCTTTGAATTAACAGAAATCTTTTTACAAATTACCTTTATTTTATTCTGTTGCGAATTGTACCTAGATAGTAGCAAGTAACAATTTTATACTGTCAACAGATAACATCTCAACTTGCTTCAGCACTAGAGACTGTAATTATCAGGCACTTTGTAGGCTTATTGTAATTAGTAAAATGTCGAAATTATTTATAAAAATCTTTTAGAACATGTTACAAACCATAACAATTTGCAGAATTATTCTATTCACTGAGGTGTAAAGTATTAAACCTGACAAGATTATGTGATAAGAAAAACAACAATTTTGCTTTGAGTAGCTGTATGTTTTTAATGCAATTTCGACCACTCCTATGTCGAAGTAAATTTCTGTTTTTTTCAGTAAAATAAATTGAGAAAAATGTTTGGAATTTTTTTAATGAAAATTTAAAATCCATTTGAGCGAAAGTCATGAAAATATTCAAAGGTTTTTTTTAATTAATACGGTCACATTTTTTGGTAGCAACCGCAAATTCCGTCAGATTTGAAATTGAATTTTTTGTTTCAGGTCTAGAAGCGCAAGTCCAGGACTCCTCCAAGGATCTGTATTGGTTCTGAGACAATCGATTCTAGTTAAGTGAAACGTGATTCTAAGTGTAATATAAAAAGTACAAACTCTCTTATTTAAAAACTAAGTTTTTCCTCACAGACAGTTGCATACTTGAAACGTTTATTTCAAATAAATGTTCCTTATTAAATCAGATCATTGTGTAACGCAAATCTGATGTTAAGTATTAAAATTATTAAATAAAATTTATGGCTTTTATTCATTCAACCGTCCGTCAGCGACATCTCGCTTCACCACGAGGTGCAATTATTATTTACGTGATAAAATGGCAAGTGTAATTTTACTGCCTGGAATGGTAGGTATGACAAGTGGAATTATTATTTATTGTTTATAGTTCGAAAATTATTGCTGTATCTAAGCTTACATGAATATTCAGGGGTATAATTGCCTTATCCTTATTCCCATTCCTGTATTTTACTATTTCGTGTTTGGCTCATAAATCATGGGTTGGTATGGCAGAAATTTTGCATTATTATACAATAATTAACCGACGGGACTTGATAAGGAATAACTATTGAGAAAGCTAAATCTAATTACTTTCATTACCCACTCAATAAGAGTCGGCGAATATTTTATATTGTTTTTTTTTCATCACAAACTGTTGTGAAACACCAAAAATCCTTACCTCCACATCTGTGTAAGGAATGGCTTTTTAATTGGTTAAACTATAATAGAATTTCAGTAATCTACGCACTGGCCTATTAGTTTATACTAATTAATAAGAATTTATGTTATATTAAAAGCCGCCTAAAAGGGTAATAAAAAATCAATTAGAATAAGTTTCAAAATGCCGTTGCTTATTTATCGGAACACAAATTTGGTTTTAAGAAAGTATAAACTTGACTATAAAAAATTATTTTACAAGGTGATACTGGTGTTGGAAACTGTCCTTAATGAGACTGAAATTGTTGCACTGTTTTATTCATAATATCTTTGATAAGAATGGGTGTCAAACGTGTATTTTTTTATTAATTTTAATAGCAATCAAAAAATCATAAATTTAATATTATGCAATGTTTTTTATAATTTTTAAATTTATAAAAATGCAATTTTTTTGCGGCTAAAACCGAAACAATTTTTTTTTCAAGATTTCAAATAATTTAAAACTTGCCACATTAATGATTTATTAGATCATTAAAATTTATCAATGTCAAATACACACATGTGATTTTGCAGATGTTTAGAAGACGAGAAATTAGGTAAAGAGTGGTATTCTGTCATGAGTTTCAGGATCATCGTCTTGAAATACAATTTTCAGTAATTTTTTCAGAATGGAACATAATTAAGTAGTAGTTTTTTTCTTCTTTTAGGCCCAACATAAAAAATAACTTAATGTTTTTTATTGATTCAAAAAGTACTAACTGCTTAAACTCTTGTAAAATTATCAAAAATTCGTACAGGTTATTCCACTAAAAATCAATGTCCCAGAAACGAGTAATTGAAGAGAAAACATGACCAGTGGCAAAGAAAGATTTTTCGATAAAATCTGCTACTACTTTTGAAGTGATGATATTAAATTTTGACCTAAATCACTTGTACGAACATTTTTTTTACCAAAATAATCGAAAAACATAAAACTAGAGTTTTAATTTTCTTGTTATTAAATTTGTAACATTTGACCTTTTGGAAAATCTAGTTGTGTACCTGGGATACTCTGTATTAGTGGAGGGCAAAATAAAACAATGTTTTATTGCTAATTACACAGTGCAACGCAGGTGTTTAAATAATAAAACTGAGGAAAACATTCAGAAATGATTAATGACTTGCCCATGTGACACTTTGAATGATGTAAGACCATGGGGTTGCGGTCCAGTGGCGCCGTTAAAAACCTCAATCAGATAAGTTGGCGCGTGTTGTCCACTTTTCCGAGTAAAACCGTTTTACAGAATCTCAATCGGTATCAATTAGTAATTGTAACAACGCTGAAGCGGACATTATCTATACCAACGGAACGGAAAAAGCAGTTCGGTTTAAAAGCGACTCTTAAAATTCAGCAGGTGTCGGTGTTTGTTTTTATCTTTATTAGTTCGTTTAACTTGCCGCCTCATTTGATCCTTATTTCTCCTTCTCTCTTCCTATCATGTGTCTCTGTGTTAATTGTAATCGCGATTAATCTTATTTTTTTATTTCGAGTTATCTGATTTGGAAGATAGACAGGATTGTTTAGTAAAAAGTCTAAAGCAATGAAACAAAGTCAGCTTACAAATCTGAAGAGATTAGGTGAAATGTCTATTTTTGTACGTATCATCTAAAGAAGGCTGTTGTTCGAATTTACACACAATTACTTAAAAAAGTCAGCTATTTTAGAACTCGAGCAAAAAATTGCTAAATTACCTAATAGCCGACAATCACTCTTTTTTAATGATATCCGAGAATATGAGCATTTACTTACTGAACTACACTATAAAAAAGTAAACAGAATGGTAAGTGTTATATTATTGATCTTTAAGGATTATAAAACTGTTAGGTATATTCATACACATTAAAAATAATAACTTTGCTAAAACACTGTTGACACGTGTTTCATCAACCAAGTTGGTAACATCAGAACAAAATCGCTTTATAAACTGGTGTGGCATATGTTTGATACACATTAAAAAAATCTATGTAAGAAATAAAAAAATATTTTTTAATAACATCAGTTTAAGAAAATACATATTTATAAAAAATAATTATGGCAAAAATGGTATTTCTGCATAATTTAAAACAAAAAAATAAGTAATTAAAAAGCAACACGCGACATTTTATTGACAGTTTTCCAAAGCATTTCATGATTTTTTAAAATTTGTTTTTTATAATAAACGTATTTTGGAATCAAAAAGTATGATTCATATGACGTTAAAAAAGAATTTACCAATATTAATAACAACAAGCGAGGTGGTTGTTTATGTCAAAAATATTTGTTTTCATTTGAAACAAATAAGACATCATCACCAGTTAAATAGTTAATTAATTTTTAAGTGTTCTTTTATAAATTGCTTTAATACTTTACCATTAATTTTT